TCAATAATGACCAATGAAGGGTAAGTATTTTTGAGCCACTATTAATCGGCTCTTCTGAAAAAATTCTGATCGAGATCTTGGCCCCGATGATCAGGACCCGATTAGATTCGATTACGTAACGTGCTTCACGTTTCTGTGGTGGTGGCACTGAGAACGGTGCACTCACGGAAGAAGTGCACTGCACTGAGTGTGGTATTATCCTTAATAAAAAAGATAAAAATCCTAAATATTATAAAACCCCGCAACGGAGATCGCTTCGCCAAAGGTCGAGAAGCAATACAGACGTTAAAATCTTTTATTTTTTAAACGAAAATTTTACCCAAACATAAAAAAAATGTAAAACCTTTCCTGGTTTATTAATTGGCTAACTTAGATATATCCACCTTATCCTATCCTACTAAAGGAGGAAATATTGGCTGGAAATGTTTTATGCCATCCTGGCCTAACCATGGCAATCTATTTCCTGACCCGTTTTGAGCAGACCTACTTGGGCCAAGATTTATAAGCCAAGAAATGGCACGACCATCCTGGGCAAATACTGAAATGCAATTATTCCAGATTGAGACAAAAAATCTACACTGTTATAAAAATCAGATTTGTTAACATGAGTTTGTAATTTTATTTTGTAAAATTGTTACAAAATTTTTTGTATACAACCTGAGTTTGTAATTATTTTAGAAATAAAAAATATTTTACCGAAAGGTAATATGCAATTTTGTAAGCATTTTGTTAATTTCAAAGGTTACAGATTATTTTGTTAATGTTTAACAAATTATTCCGTTGAAAAAGTACACGAGATTTCAGGCAGCCAATCAAAACATTTTCCAGCACAACACACTTATCAACAAATTGTGTCAGAAGCATGGACAGTCAAGGGGTTTTGTAATATTTAACGGTGACAGGAGTTTTTATAATGCCATTACTGGTTTTCAAATTAAAATTAGGCGATACAGTGAAGTGTTTTAGTAGTACTTATTGTACCAAATTTCTATATAATCTGATGATTTCAGAATAGTGTGTTATTTAATTTTGTGTTTATTTATGTAGGTATGTGTTAAATTTGTTTTATTTACAAAATTGCAAAAAAGCAAAATTTCTTATAACAAATTAACTTTTTTAAAGTTCCCAATTTACAACAAATACTTTTGATACTGGGTATACATAAAATTTTGTAAAAAATACAAGAATTATGGTTGAAATTGACATGGAATTTTGTTATTAAATCTACAAAATGTCTGTAATATTTACAAAGTACTTATTCAATTAGTTAACAGATTACAGTTGATTGTAAACTTAACAAAAAGTTATGTGGACCTGGATTAACATAAATTCTGGTTATGATTTGGTTAAAATTTACAAATATTTTTTTACTGTGTATACCTTTTTTGAAACCTTGGTTTGGAAAAATGCAAGTCATTAAGCATGTGTGTATGTCAATGAAATGTTCTTCATAGATTTAATTTATGGTTTTATTAGTTCCTGACAAGGACTTCATGTATTTGCTTCTGTCAAGTCTGGCGTAAAATAAATAACCTCCATTGGACATGATACCTTGTCAGGAACTAATAAATCTATAAATTAAATCTATGAAGAACATTTCATATAGAACCCATAGTTGGGATTTATGGTTGTTCTATAGGGATATCATATCCCTATAGAACAACCATAAATCCGAACTACGGGTCCTATACATACCGATACACCCTATAGAAACACCATACATCTATCGGTGTGAACAGGGTCTCTATGGGGTATTTTAAGCAGGGTACTAAAACACTTACTGATGTACTTTAACCCACTTCACTGTATCGTCTAATTTTAATTTGAAAACCAGTAATGGCATTATAAAAACTCCTGTCACCGCTAAATATTATAAACACCCGTTGACGCTGACACAACTTGTTGATAAGTGTGTTGTGCTGGGAAATGTTCTGATTGGCTGCCTGAAATCACGTGTACTTATTCAACGGAATAATTTATTTAACATTAACAAAATAATCTGTAACCTTTGAAATTAACAAAATGCTTACAAAATTGCATATTACCTATACAAAACTTTCGGTAAACTATTTTCCTTTGTTAAAATAATTACAAACCCAAGTTGTATACAAAAAAATTTGTAAAAATTTTACGAAATAAAATTAACAAACTACAAACTCATGTTAACAAATCATATTTTTATAACAGTGCATTACAACTTTTGTATCGCTCGTGTTGTCATTTTTCTTACGAAAAATCGCCACTATTACTGTTACAATTGTAACTATTACTTACATGTGTTATTAATCATTACAAATTTTTAATCAAACTCAATCGTAAATCCAAATTAGATTCGATCACGGAAATGTGATCAAATCTGATTGGGCTCCGATCATCGAATTAAAAATCTCGAGGAGAATTTTTTAGCAGGGCAATATTGTTTGCCCACAATGGCGATTAATGTTGGCTCAAAAACGCCGATGCAAAATTTTTGGTTTAATATTTATTAAAAGGTCAAATTTTAATAAATTAATTTTTTAAACATTTTAAATAAAATTTAGTTTATACTTTTTCAAAAAAAATATTAGGGTGGACTTATTTAGGGTATTTTCGAGTCCTTAATCGGTTCTAAATAAATAGGAACAAGTTTCTGACAAGTTTAGCTTTTATTATTAATATAATAAAATAATTAACCTAGCCCTCACGGCAGTTGATATTTTTTATTTTTTTTATTTAAATTAATTTAAACTAGTAATAATTAATAAAAAAATTAAATAAAAAGGATGTATAATATTATAATCTTAAACTAGTGTTACAATGAATATATGTTGTTTTGCTATTTAGCCCAGTTAAATTAGGGTTTAACTTCAAAAATATTCCCAGGCTCTTATTTATTTGTCCTAGAAGTCACAAGCGAAATTATGCCATTTTTAAGTAAATTTACCTGGGCAACAAAATTTATTATTACTAAAACTTACAAAAAATCAATATTTTTAACCTTTAATATTTGGCAAATAAACATGTTAATTTAAATTTTTTTCAATAAAAAATTGGTCAACGAATTAATTAAAAAAAATCCGCTCCGAACATTTTCTTATACCGCTGACTTCTTTTCTGTGCTACATAATTTAAATTTTTGCGAGCACATAACCGACTATGAGACATATATTTTTATACAAAATGTCGACTCGTGTTGCCTCAAAATAATCATTTTGTAAATGCAACCCACAAACAAGGTTTGAAGGGGCAAATTTTGTGATCTTTATATATAAGTTGAATGTGGCTTTCGCTAATTTCAAAAACTATATATAATTTATGATTTTTTATTGGATTGTATTGCTAAACAATTTTGGCTGGATTATCTTCATCTTTCTTTTTTTTTGATATTCAAAACAAGCCAGTTTAGTCCAATATATTGAGAAATTTTTGGTAAAAAGGTTTATTGCATGTGCCTAGGATATATAGCATAACATTGAATAAAATAAATTATTTCTTTCTTTAAAAGCATGACGTTTTTAATTTTAAATTATGATCCAAGCAGTAGTCAACAAGGTGACTTCTTTCTCTTACTTAACATTTTTCTATAAAATAATACTACAATAATACTTTTTATAATAATACTGTGAATCTATTCTTTAAACAATGAGGAGTTTTTAAGAAGAAAGTTTTTAATAAAACGCGTAATAAAAATTTTTTCTTACTGGCAACCCATCCTGGGTCACACTATACAATGTACGAGGTGTGTTCAGAAAATAACTGGAATTGTTAAATTTCGCGGGTTCGGAGGGTCCGGTTGTCATAAAATTTTCTTTATTATGTTGGTATACATGCCCCCGAAGTATGATAAAAACTTGTTTTCATTGTTTACTTTGTCTGTGGCAGCCGCTAAGGTTAGACGTGTTTTATGAGCTCGGCGATTTTTCGTTCGTTAAAAGAAATTGATCAAAGAATTTGTATCCAATTTTGCTTAAAAAATGAAATAAATTCTGTGAAATGTTAACAAAGGCCTATATTGAGTCTGTTATAAGTAAAACAAGTTTACAAGTGGTATAAGAGTTTCCAAGATGGCCATGAAGACGTTGGAGATGACGAACGCCCCGAACGCACAAGCACATTAACAACCGATAAAAACATGGAAAAAGTGGAAGAAATGGTTATAAACCATCAGAGAAGTCGCTGATGATGTTGGTATATCGATTGGCTCACCCCATGAAATTTTTTCGAATGTTTTGTGTATGAAACGCGTGGCAGAAAAATTTGTTTTAAAATTGTTAAATTTTGAACAAAATTTTTGGCTAAAAACAAAACTGTGATGATGCCCCAGCCTCCATATTCGCCAGATATGCCTCTGCCTGACTTTTTCCTATTCCCAAAAATAAAGAGAACCTTAAAGGGCCGTCGTTTTGCAACCATAAATGACATTAAAAGCGCATCGCTGAAAGAACTAAAGGCTATTCCAAAGATCAAGTTTTAGAAGTGTTTCGAGTATTGGAAGAAGAGCTGGCACATGTGCATAATATCCAATGGGGACTATTTTGAAGGCGACAACATTAATGTAGACGAATAAATAAATATTTGTTTCAAAAAACGAAAATTCCCGATATTTTCTGAACACACCTAGTATAGTATACATTTCATGACAGCACAAAAACGACCATTTTTTTTAAATATTAATATTAAGATTTAATTTTTATTTTACTTTTATTTCATATTTTAATAAACAAAACATATTTTTGTGTACAAAAATTTGCCGTAGCGAGCAAGAATTTTCAAAGAGTGTTTTTTTTGCGACAATTATAATTATATCTATAGAAATATTTAAAAAATAAATGTTAAAAGTTTACTAAAATTTCATAAATTAAAATAAATTGTATACATTCATCCCAAATTAAATGTTTGTGATCCCAGGTGTAGGTATGTACAATAGACCTAGTGCGGTAATTTTATTATATTATTTCTTAATATTTACAAACATTATGGGTAATTAGCATACAATTTATATTTAAGTAAAAAAATCTTACATATAAAAACTGCAACATAATCAGATCTCTGGCGTATTTTCTCAAACATTTTTCTGTTCACTTTTTCAATATGATCCGTTAATTCCATGTTCTCTGGATCAGTTAGCCAATCAAGAAGTTCTTCTTCGTCGTCAATGTCACCATCGTAATTAATGGATTTGCCTTTTCGAAAATATGTTATTCCTGGCGGATTTCTATAGCCGTATTTTTTAGCCATTAATCTGTCCTTCATTTTTACAATTTTTATTCCATACTCACTTGCTTCGTCATCAATAAGTTCTACATGCCTTAATATTCTTGGACTATCCGAACTTTCTTCTTTATCTATAAGATATTATAAAGCATAAAATGTTTGATAATTATTTGCCAATAAATAAAAATAATTGTTTTTAATTTTTATTAGTTTAGATCACTAATGGCACTAGGGTCCCTTACAAGGTTTTTACATTGGGGCCTTAAAAAATATCGTTGTCTAAGAAGAAATACTGTAAACCACAAATTTAGTTATATCCTAATTATATATAAGCTTATACACTAAATCATTTTTTAACGCAACGGCAAGGTTTAGGCTACAAATAAATTTTTTTTTTAAGATTAGTATAAACCGTGCCAAAATTACTTTACTTCTTCCATTAACACGGGATTTTTGCAGTTACTACTAACTTATAAAGTTATTGTTGATTCTCCTTTTCAAATGAAAACGAGAATCAACTTACATCTCCCTCAATTTATTACTGTTCTGTTTTGTTTATTAGAGTTAATTTAGATTTCATACGGTATGTTTGGTTTCTCAGGAAAACAAAAAAAGACAAGAAGTTAAAAAAACACACAGCAGGCACGCTACGTCTTTCAATACGCGCAGTCAAGATTGATTTTCGCTAATATTTGTTTGCTATAGTTTAGATAAGTTAAAAAGTGCAAAAATCAAATACGTTGACACCAGCTCTTGGAGTACTACGGTTCACAAATAAAAATACTATTAATTTCGTGTTTTGGTCAAACTAGGGGGCTATAGAGGATCAACGCCAGATGGCACGAAGAAATATCAGGAAATCATGGTAAGTCCCAAAGTTAATGATTAAAACACGATGGACCTTCTTTGATTGAATAAAAGTAATAAAAGCGACAACATATTGTTGGTCTTCGAACCGAATCACGTTTTTTGAAGTAAAGGGAAAAAGTAGTTAATAAAAATGCAAATTTTAATCAAAATTACTTTAAAAAAGTAAATAAATATCACAAACGTAAAATAAAAAAATCTTAATGTAAATAAAAAAGCAGATGATCAATTAATCAAGTGATTTTAAAAATATTAAACTAAATAATCACAAAAGTAAAATCACAAAATCCTAAAGCAAATAAAAATCTTAAAGTAAATTAAAAGCACAGGTTCAAAATTTAAATTATTGTGAAATCCCAAGAAAAATAATCAATTATGATGGGAAAATGCTTGTTATGATTTAATCTTTATATTTTTCACACTTAACTGAAATTCTTAATAACTTTTATCAATTTATACCTAACTATAATAACACGTGGACACAACAAACACAATAGAAAAATAAATACAATACAAACACATCCCGATTGCAGCAATGTAATAAGGTTATGTTTTTGTCGAATTACCGCGTTGACCGGTTACGCGCGAATTTTAAAATTTGAATTTAAATGCAATATGTATATATATGTATATACAGTAGGGTGATTCATTTCCGCAAAGTTTTTGTTTTCTTCGGTGCTCAAGCAAAATATTAATCTGCATATAGAAAAAAAAATTCTCAACAAGTTTGAGCTCTTGCAGTTTAAATTTAAAGTTTTCCCATTTAAAAAGCATGTAAAAAAAATGTTTTTTTTTTCAAATTTCTAATGCTTACCCACCTTTGACAATATTGCAAATCGGTTTAATACACCTTATGGGGAATTTCACGCTCTTTAAAATTGCTTTTAAGTTTTTTTTTGTAACTCGCATTGGTTCACCAGTAGGAGTCGTCAAAGGACAGTTTTTGAAAAAAATCGTTTTTTTTTAAATTTTTTCTAACAAACCGCAAAAAGTAGGGAGAAAAGATTTTGTTTTCTTCGGTGCTCAAGCAAAATATTAATCTGCATATAGAAAAAAAAATTCTCAACAAGTTTGAGCTCTTAATATCAATTTTAAGTACTTGCAGTTTAAATTTAAAGTTTTCCCCATTTAAAATGCATGTAATAAAAATGTTTTTTTTTTCAAATTTCTAATGCTTACCCACCTTTGACAATATTGCAAATCGGTTTAATACACCTTATGGGGAATTTCACGCTCTTTAAAATTGCTTTTGAGTTTTTTTTTTGTAACTCGCATTGGTTCACCAGTAGGAGTCGTCAAAGGACAGTTTTTGAAAAAAATCGTTTTTTTTTAATTTTTTCTAACAAACCGCAAAAAGTAGGGAGAAAAAAGGGGCTGAATCATAAAAAAAAGTTATCCAACCAATATTTAATGAATTTACAGCCATTTTTATAACTGAAAACGTAAGAAATTGATAATTACCAACTCATAATGTTATTTAGATTGATTTTTTTCTATTTATTATCATTATATTTCCCTACACTAAGAAGTTTTTTAAAATTATTAATTTCTCACTTATAATGAATATGAAAATAACAGATAAATTCATAAAAAAATAGCAAAAAAGTATAAATGAAGATTATTTAATTTTTTTAAGCGAAATTTGAAATATGTTACATAACCTTCTGTATATTCCGATTAAAGTTTTGTAGTTTTTTTTATAAATTTATGTGTTGTTTTCATATTCATTATGAGTGAGAAATCATAATAATTTTAAAAAAGTTCTTAGTGTAGGGAAATATAATGATAATAAATAGAAAAAATCAATCTAAATAACATTATGGGTTGGTATTTATCAATTTCTTACGTTTTCAGTTATAAAAATGGCAGTAAATTCATTAAATATTGGTTGGATAACTTTTTTTTTATAAATCAGCCCTTTTTTCTCACTACTTTTGACAATTTGCTCGAAAAAATAATAAACTGGTGAACCAATGCGAGTTACAAAAAAAAACTCAAAAGCAATTTTAAAGAGCGTGAAATTCCCCATAAGGTGTATTAAACCGATTTGCAATATTGTCAAAGGTGGGTAAGCATTAGAAATTTGAAAAAAAAAAACATTTTTTTTACATGCATTTTAAATGGGAAAACTTTAAATTTAAACTGCAAGTACTTAAAATTGATATTAAGAGCTCTACCTTGGTGAAATTTTTTTTTTCTATAGGTAGATTAATATTTTGCTTGAGCACCGAAAAAAAACAAAAACTTTGCGGAAATGAATCACCCTAATATACAGTGTGCCGCATTTAAGATGAAGACACCCCTATATTTTTGATCTTTGAAGAAATACAGATTTGAATTTTTGCACAGTCATACATATTGATGGGTCACATTTTTTAAGATACTCAACTGAACTCTGAACTTTAAACTCAGCCTACTACGAATTCATAAACAGGGCCATGTCGATATGTCGATATGTAGCTTCGCGTTAGAGATATCGAAAAAAAATATTGGAAAAAGTTGTTCAGAATATTATGCTATTCCCATATACCGGCTTTCATAACAAAATTCGCATTTTTAATTTTTTTTATTTTGATCCACACAAAATTATTAATTTTTTAGTTTGATAATAAGGGAGCCATGGAAAGTAATAATTTGACACTATTTAGTGTTTATAACCGTTAAATAAATAAATAAAACAATTTTTGGTAAATACAAATCAGATATAATTGATTCAATTTAGGAAATAAATAATAAAACCAATAAAAAAATAAAAATAAAATAATTAACTATCAAATACGACCTCTCTCAACTAGTCCTCCCTCTATTCGAATACATTTTTCGATTCTTTTACGATTATGTTTAGTTACTCGTCTAAGTTCCGGGATGCTAATTTGTTGGCAAGCTTGCCTTATTCTGGCACAAAGTTCTTCTTGATTTCTGGGCCTTGTTTTATAAACTTTATTTTTTACCATTCCCCAAAAATAAAAATCGTGGGGTGTAATATCGGGACACCTCGGAGGCCATAGTTCAAAAGGACTGTTTCTTCCTATTCAGCGCATAGTAAATTTTTGGTTCAACCATTGACGAACAATTCTTGAATTGTGGATGGATACATCACCTAGCTGCAGATACATATCCTGTCGCATATTAAGTGGAAGATTTTCAATTGCATCCCAAAATTCCTTATCAAAGAAGTTAACTAAACGATCAGCATTCAATAATTCATTAAAGAAAAAAGTACCAATTATTAGGGTTTCTAAAATCCCACACCAGACATTAACTTTCTGGGATCGATTGGGGATTGATCTTTACAATTTATAACCCAGTGAGGATTATCTCTGGCCCAGTATCTACAGTTTTGAGACGATACCACCCCATTAGTGGTGAATGTAGCCTTATCAGTAAACATAATCTTCTTCAGAAAATGTCTGTCATTTAAAAAATTACCTTGTGTTATGGGGTACCCAAAATTTGTACCTTCCTTGTTCTCGCTCTACAGGCTCAGAATAATTATTTTCGATTAAAAGCGTAAACTTGTGAGTCAATATATTTTCAAATAATTTAGAAACCAAAAAAACAATCTAAAAAAATTTTTTTTTACGAAATCTTCTGGGTAGCCCATTTTGCGTCCCCGCTGCCTTTCACCTCCCGTCTGCTAATTGTACCATAAAATTAAAAAAACCATAAAACCAAACTTTGACCTCGAATAAGTCTAGAAGAAATCAATTTATCGAAAAATAATAAGAGACCTTTTTTTTAGAGCGTTACATTTTATATAAGAAACTGCAATGATCATTGACATAAGTTACTTTGATACAAAGGTATAAAATTCCAAACATAAAATTATTTATTCCCATGTTAATTAAACTGCGCACCACTCAATGTGTCGCGACCAAAAAGTTCGTCCTTTTTCAAAACGACATAACTTTTTTGTTTCTTAAACGATTTTATTTTGGTCTGTAATGTCTACTAGCCCCATCCTCTGGCAATTCATGCTATAGATATGAAGCTTACGGTTCTTCAAGCAAATTTCGTATAGGGTGGTGAAAAATTTCAATAACTTCATCCAAGCTCCGTTTGAAAAAAGAAATATTTTTTCTCGTTTTTACTTTGAAATAATGAAGTACTATGTCTTACCTTGAAAAGGTTTTTAAGTTTTTTGAATTGGAATCTTAGCAACGAAAATACGATTTTTTTTCCAAAAGAGTACATTTAAGGGTTTTTGATAGCCAATACACTTAGTCTTTTTAAGAACAAGAAGATAAAATGATAAAAGATTGTT